TGCAGCAGAAAAATTAGAATAAGAATATGCACCGTGACTTCAGATTGATTAGGAGTCTCTTCTCACTGCTCCTTTTAAGAAACAGTCTCACTGGCAACCCCATCATATCTCTACATGGTTATCTGATCACATATCACATCTTTTTTTCTTATAGGAGTGTAGGATCTAGGTTCTAGGTTCTAGGTTCTAGAATCTTTACTAAAAATTTAAAGCACAAAGGAGTCACTTCTTGAAGCTCAAATATCTTCTCATTGGTAAAGGGCTTACTATTTTCCACTATTTTGCATCTCATTTATATTAGGCTGTTACTAAATTTTAAAGCCTCAGGTAACAATATTGGGTGCTCCGCTCATAAAAACAATAGAACCTAAAAATAAGCCACTATTTATAATCTCTAAGTGCTCACAGTGTAATGATGAAAACCCTTAGATAAACCATGAGTAAGTCCTAATGAATATAAATGTATTATCCTTTGTGGGGGGGGGGAGGAAGTTGAAGTTTTCTACTAACAGTTATTTACATTTTGTTGGCAATTTGTAGTTCATATAGTGCTTTCATATATATTATCACATTTGTGCTTTTAATTATCAATCAAAAACTGATACAGTCCATAACTGACTATATAAATGCTATGCAAATTATAGAGAAAGGGTCAAAAACTCTAAATGTCCATTTTTCATCTTTTCCTTTTGATACAAGTGATAAAATACTCTGATGGAATTGTAATTGTAGACAATACAGAAAATAAATTTTTTTCTGTGAGTTATTAAACAACGTAAAAATCTAAATAAGTTAGTAGAATGAACAAATTCTGGAAATGTCTTCTTCTGCTCTCATTTCTATAATTTACTTATAATAGCTGAATTGTTCATTTTGGTTTACTTAGAAACCTTGATAGAAGATTCATGGAAACTTAGCACGACAGATTACAAACTCTAGTAAGCACTTAAAAAAGCCTTTTTATTTAGAGCAATTTTAAATTTACATAATTATTATGAAGATAGCACAGAAGGTTACCCTATACCCTGCATCCAATTCCCCCATTATTAACATCTTATATTAGTATAGTGTATTTATTACAAACTAATAAACCGATATTGATACATTTTAATTTACTAAGTCCATTATTTATTCAGATTTCCTTAGTTTCTTTTTTTTTTTAAAGATTTTATTTATTTATTTATTTGAGAGAGAGAGAGAATGAGAGACAGAGAACACGAGAGGGAAGAGGGTCAGAGAGAGAGAAGCAGACTCCCCGCTGAGCAGGGAGCCCGAAGTGGGAATCGATCCCGGACTCCAGGATCATGACCTGAGCCGAAGGCAGTCGCTTAACCAACTGAGCCACCCAGGCGCCCAGATTTCCTTAGTTTCTACTTACTTTTTTTCCCTTTCCATCCTGTACTCTTTGGAAGGAAGTCACTATGCTCCACCCACACTTAAGGAGTGGGGATTTATGCTCCAACCTCCTTGAGGGCAGAGTATGTGCATAAAATATTTGGTCTGAGAGGTATTTTTAAGTTGTAAAAACCTGGGAGGATTTCACAAGTCAAAAGTGTTGTAGGGAGGAATGAGGAAAGAGATGAGGAAATCCATATGAGGAAGCCAGGAAGTAAGGAATTCAAGATAATGATCATAACTAAGGTATGAGATGAGATTGCACTCTTCAACAGGGGTTCAAGCTGATGAAACGCATTCCATTCAATTTTTTCCTGTTCATCCAGTTCCTCTGGAAAAGTGAAGCATTTGAACACTTGGAAACTATAATGAAGTCCAGAATCCTTTCACTTTTCTCCTGAGATCATCCCATGAATATAATAACTTCATTCACTGACAATGCCTATCTTGCTGTAAGGTTTTGGTGTTGAAAATACATAAAATATTTTCCACATTTCTAGACAGAGTTCCTCATCTTTTCTTGGGGGTGGATACAAGTGGATAAGTGATGAGAAGAGGTGCTAGTTCTAATTTATGCTGTTGCATTGACTTGGTTAACTTACCCTCTGATATTGGATAGCTATTGCTGTGTAAAAAATCATCCTCGAACTCAGTGGCTTAAAAAAAATAATCATTTATTATTGCTCATGCATCTGTGAGACAGCTTGAGTTTATCTAGCCTTACTTCAGCAGGGTGGCTCTGCTTCTCATGAAGATCTGCTAGCTGGCTGAGGAGTCACTGATTTGTGTTCCTCAACCTTCTCTTCAGTCCAGCATGCTAGCTGTAGCATGTTTTTACCATGGCAACGTCCAAAGGCAAAAGAACAAGGAGTAA